GGCAAAGCTTCTTCAGGAGAGAAGAGGGGGATCTATACCTCCCCCAATGTTAATTGTGCGTGTCATTATAACGAACCTAACGGCAATTGAAACTCGGCTCCCAGATTAACAATTCCAAGCCATTATCAGTAACACCATCCGCACGTCCAATCTCAAGCAGTTGCCGCATTCTGGGTTATACGATAAACTACATCCGTGCCCTGGGTAAGACGATTAACTACATCTGACAGCAGGGCGAGTTTTGGTATCGTGGAACAGCTTCTTGATTGCTGGTGTTCCCGAGTCCGCCGCCCTGATCTGGGGTGATGGCACCTGGGGTCAGAGCGCTGTGAAATTCTAAAATGGGTTTTAATACCAGCAATATATTTTTGTAAGAAATTATTACCAGCAATAATTTTTTGGAAAAAAAAAAAATAATTACCAGCTATACATTATTACCAGCAAAACATTTTTGAAAAAAATATTACCAGCAATACATTATTACCAGCAAAACATTTTTGAAAAAAATATTACCAGCAATACATTATTACCAGCAAAACATCTTTGAAAAAAAATATTACCAGCAATATATTATTACCAGCAGAACAATTTTGAAAAAAATATTACCAGCAATACATTATTACCAGCAAAACATCTTTGAAAAAAATATTACTAGCAATATATTATTACCAGCAAAACATTTTTGAAAAAATATTACCAGCAATACCTTATTACCAGCAAAACATTTTTGAAAAAAATATTACCAGCAATACATTATTACCAGCAAAACATTTTTGAAAAAAATATTACCAGCAATACATTATTACCGGCAAAACAATTTTGAAAAAATATTACCAGCAATACATTATTACCAGCAAAACATTTTTGAAAAAAATATTACCGGCAATACATTTTAAAAAAAATATCTGCAAAACATTTTTTTTTAAATATTACCAGCAAAACGTTTTTGAAAATAAATATTCCAAGCAATACATTAACAAATACCAGCAATACATTTTTGGGAAAAAATATTAGCAGCAATAAAAAAACTTGTCAGCATTAAGTTATCCATTGCGGTTGATATGCCATAAAACAAACCAAATCAAACCAATATATACTGAGATAGATAGATAGATAGATAGATAGATAGATAGATAGATAGATAAAAATATTACTAGTAATAAAAATCTTGTTGGCATTAAATAACACATGGAAGTTGATATGACGTAAAACAAAATAAACCAAACCAATAGATAGATAGATAGATAGATAGATAGATCGAGAGAGAGAGAGAGAGAGAGAGAGAGAGAGAGAGATTACCAGCAATAAAGATCTTATCGACATTAAATAACCTATGGAGTACGATATGATGTAAAACAAACCAAACGAAACCAAACCATCAATCACCGATCTATTTACTGACGACATCCGCCATTGTTTTACTTGGATGATCGTACTGGAATCGGAATTTAAACGCAATGTGGCCGTATGGCCGGCCAACTGGAATTATACATCAAATGGAATCCATCGCCAGTCAACTTGAATAAATGGTCAGTCTGAACTGCCAGACAACTTGAATAACCGGTCAAAATGAACTGCCAGCCAACTTGAATAACTGGTCAGTATGAACTGCCACACAACTTGAATTACCGGTCAACATGAACTGCCAGCCAACTTGAATAAATGGTCAGTATGAACTGCCAGACAACTTGAATTACCGGTCAACATGAACTGCCAGCCAACTTGAATAACTGGTCAATATGAACTGCCAGCCAACTTGAATAACTGGTCAATATGAACTGCCACACAACTTGAATAACTTGCCAACATGAACTGCCAGCCAACTTGAATAAATGGTCAGTATGAACTGCCACACAACTTGAATAACCGGTCAACATTATCTGCCAGCCAACTTGAAAGAATGGTCAGTATGAACTGCCACACAACTTGAATTACCGGTCAACATGAACTGCCAGCCAACTTGAATAAATGGTCAGTATGAACAGCCACACAACTGGAATAACCGGTCAACATGAACTGCCAGCCAACTTGAATAAATGATCAGTATGAACTGCCACACAACTTGAATAACCGGTCAACATGAACTGCCAGCCAACTTGAATAAATGATCAGTATGAACTGCCACACAACTTGAATAACCGGTCAACATGAACTGCCAGCCAACTTGAATAACTGGTCAATATGAACTGCCAGCCAACTTGAATAACTGGTCAATATGAACTGCCAGCCAACTTGAATAACCGGCCAACATATACTGCCAGCCAAATTGAATTACCGGTCAACATGAACTGCCAGCCAAATTGAATTACCTGTCAACTGGAATAACCAGTCAACATGAACTGAAAGCAAATTTGATAACCTGTCCACATAAACTGACAGCCAACTTGAACGACCGGCCTACATGAATTGCCAGCCAAATTGAATTACCGTTCAACTTGAATAACCGGTCAACATGAACTAGCAGCGAACTCGAACAACCAGTCAACTTAAAAAAATACTGGTCAACTTGAAAAATCGGCCAACTTGAAAACCATTCAAAGTGATTTTTCAACCACGTACTTAAGTCAGGAAGTGCATAGACTCTGTCTATCATGAGAGAGGCCTTGTATTTTCATTGCACTCAGTACGCCATTGCGAGTCATATTAGCCGTAGGTAAAACACAGGGTTACGCTTGAATCTTCTAAGCGCTATTTGTACGCTCTCGAAGCCACCATAATCACTCAAACACCCCGTTTTAATAATTTCGAAAACCAAATAAACTAGGAAAGACTAGTAACCTCCCCTGTTCGAGTGTTTCTATCAACAGTCGTTTGGCGGCGTGCCGCCAGCAATCCCACCCTTCCCATGGTGCATCACGAGTTGCCGCGCTGATTCAAACTGTTGCGAAGCACAACGCCTGGGGATGAATCGGTTGTCATTTTCCTTGCCAACTAAGCTCGTACCAGTCATGGAAACTTTGTCATCTGTCGTGATAGCTATGGGCGATCCAATGAGGGAGTTCGGGGAAGGAGACAGAGACAGGTGGAGAATAACAGAGAAGGGCGCTGGCGGGGGTTCTTCAGTAGATATTGCGTCGAAGAACCCACCTTCTCCGTTTCAAGTCTGCTCTTTTACGGCTTACCATAATATCCGTCCTCGCCACACCTACACGCGCACGCGCACACGCACACCGCTTTTGCAATTTGCAGAGAAACACGCCCGTAGGCATGCATTTGGCCATCTTCACAAGAACGTAAACGGCTGCACAATATATGCACAATATATGCACTATTTGGCGCATCTGGGAATGCAAACCCGCGCGAACACAGGTACAAAAGCCACTGATAATTTATACACGCATAGACATATAAATGCATCCACAAACGCGCGCCAATAGACGCAGACCTGTTCATATACACACGCAGACACACACGGACACAGGCACACAGAGAAATACAACAAACTATATTAATGTGTACGTTTCTCACCAGGTGTCTCATTATTGCAACTATAAATTACTTTTGGGTTACTATAATGTGATACGAAAACATTGTGATAAATAGATAAACTGAACAGAATTAGATAGATAGATAGATAGATAGATAGATAGATAGATAGATAGATAGATAGATAGATAGAAAACTTCAGAGAGATATATAGAGATAAGGACAAACTGAAATTGATATACATTAAAAGACTGCTTCATAAATTGGAATAGACAAATAGATAGATAGATAGATAGATAATTCATATATATATATATACAGAGATAAGGACAGATTGAAATTGATACACATGAAAAGGCTTCTTCGTAAATTGGAATAGAAAAAGATAGATAGATAGATAGATAGAATAATTCATATATATATATATATATATATATATATATATATATATATATATATATATATATATAGAGAGAGAGAGAGAGAGAGAGAGAGAGAGAAGGACAGACTGAAATTGATATACATGAAAAAGCTTCTTCATAAATTGGAATAGACTAATAGATAGATCGATAGATAGATAGAATAAATATATATATATATATATATATATATATATATATATATATATATACAGAGATAAGAGCAGACTGAAAATGATATACATGGAAAAGCTTCTTCATAAATTCGAAAAGACAAATAGATAGATAGATAGATAGATAGATAGATAGATAGATAGATAGAATAAATATATATATATATATATATATATATATATATATATATATATATATATAGATATATAGGCAGACTGAAATTGATATACATGAAAAGGCTTCTTCGTAAATTGGAATCGACAAATAGATAGATAGAGAGAGAGAGAGAGAGAGAGAGAGAGAGAGAGAGATCAAATCAGACAGAAAGGCAGATAGAAACGTGTGATACATTTCTTGCATGAATAGTCCATTTATATTGGTCGACTATCAGTAAAATGCGGAGAATAAAGAGACATGGAAAATCCTGGAACACATTTAGAAATACTCAGCCTTGAGAACGTATTGATTTGTTTTACTGCAGTGACTCATCTATTCTCTTTGCTATCCTCTATCGTGGCATACCAGTGACAAGACATTCTTGACAATGTATCTGATCAGGCATTTAGTGTTAGCGCAAATTTATCGGCCCAGAAATTGGAATCGGTGGAGAGTCGTCTTCAGATTCTGACCTAGAGCCTCGCGTTCCTTTTTCATGCACATAATCCTTTCAATCGTCGCCATGAGGTCAATAACTGGCTCTTCAGTCGTGGGTGGCAATTAGATCAACTCTCAATTCCAAACTGTTGAGAATCAATGCAGTTTCCCGTTTTCTTCGACACCATCCCTCTGAAGACTTCATCACAATTCACAGATTTTGCTGCCTGAAATTCTTGGCTCATTGTCAGTTTGCTTTATTTTATGGAGAATACAATTTTAGCTATTGTTTCGATTGGGCCTTCGTTTTATTTGGTGTCAGTAATAAATATTAGACGAATGTATCCACGAAAATAACTTTCTATAATGTATATCTAGCAACTTAGACTTAAAAAAATGCAATGTCCAAAATTAATAGCGCGGGGAAAAGTATAAACAACCAAATTTATAATGTACTAGCAGTAGAGCCCGGCGTTGCCCGGGGATGTAACAGTAAGAGATACATCAAGTATCGACAATCATAAAGACTGAAAAATAAAATTGACAAAGATTATTGTTTAAGGTTGACGGACACGCATGTCTTAATTAGTTTTTATTTGGTTTTTTTTTACGAATTGGTCAAACCCAAACTCAAACAAAAACATTGTTTTCATTCGTTATGAGTCTATCGATTGAATAGAATGTTATTATAAACAATTGTCTGGTAAATAGAATTTTGAAAGCATTCTGAATGTAAAAATAAAGGAAAAAGTGTGCAAGACAATAAGAAACACTACTTGCCAAAAAAAAGTGAAGTTTTGTTGAAATCGGTTGAAAAATGTAGGAAATCCGATCCCATATATAAACGAACACACACACAAACAACCTGGGTTTTATAATAATTATAACTCAATATGAGTTGTTCCCCTTTCGTTCTCGTGATGCCTCTTAATCGTGTTTTCAAATTGATTTCGTGCAAAAACAATTGTGTTTTTCCAATTTTTGGCGCTGTCAGAACCACCGCAAGGTAATTTTACGTAGTCCTGTGAAGTTTTGTTGAAATCGGTTGAAAAATGTAGGAAATCCGATCCAATATATAAACGTACACACACACACACACAAAAGCCGGTGGTTCAACGTAATACGGCCCTAAGACTTTAACAGCTGAGAAAACTAATAATGTTATCAAAACCAGAACGAAATCAAGGAAGGAAGGAAGGAAGGAAGGAAGGAAGGAAAGAAGGGAGGAGGGAACAAAGAAAGAAAGGATGGACAAAAAGAAACTAAAAAAAAAAAAAAAAAAGATGATAGAAAAATAAAAATAATATAATGACTGAATATCACTTGAATTTAAATACCTACTCTTGGAGAATCTTTTAAATTGTATGGCTAAGTCTTCTAAAACACCACAGATTAACGTTTAAAGTCGTGATAAAACATTTACAGGCGAGTGAAGAGGGGAAAATCACTAGAAAAAAATAAATGCATGTTAATAGACTGAAGAGCATTGACTCAGCCCACATGCCGAAAGTACTTAGAAAGCAGGCGACAATTAATGTCCAAATTCTCCCCGGAAACTAGTAAAAACAGGACTTAAGGAAATAACGATTTATAATTTTCAGCAATACTTACGGTAATGGTAATATTATCCGTTTCATTATAAGGAAACATTTGGTATTAATTTCTGTTCAAATTTATAAATTCATTCTCTTAAAACAATTTTTCAGGAAAATAGGTTGCTTAAGATCCGTAGCTGTTATAGCTCCTTCCAGTTATTGATGGAGGATTTCTTCCTTGCCTTATGTTTAAGGTAGTGTTATTATGATTATGTTATTATTTTCTCTTCCAGTTATATGTGCTATCCATTTCATTTGTTGCAGCTGTTGAAAGTCCTCAATTCAGGCAAGTGATCTCTGTTATTTGGTAAAGTTTTTTTATTCGTGATATTTTAGCGGCAGGTCATGAGGTTTGAAGAGATATGGTCATCGCTCAAACCTACATGATTCACTCAACCGAAAGCATTATATATATATATATATATATATATATATATATATATATATATATATATATATATATATATATATCGTGTGTACTTAGACAGCATTTTTTTCATTCATACATGTTTCATTAAATAATATAGACAAGTGCTGTCTATTTATTTTATGTAAATTCTTTTCATAACCTCTGATAAGCTTAATAAAATTATCATTAAACGAAGAAAGAAAATCACAATATTGATCCATATTTTTTAATCCAATCTAAGCTTTCGGCTTACACAAGACATTATCAAAGATGTCAATTACTGTACAACATATTAAGCAATATACGGGCAAGACAGTGATGATAGTCTGTTATTGTTTACATGGATGATTTCCTAGCAACGATAAACACGTGCATATAAGACGCTAGAAGCGAAAATCGCACCGCAGTTCATGACGTCACACATGACCACACGAGAGTGAATTCAAGAAGTATTACGTATGGGAAGCCGTTGGTATATATATATATATATATATATATATATATATATATATATATATATATATATATATATATGGTATCAAATGACAATTGGAAAAAATCTTAGATTTTGCCGACGCGTTTTCGTCTTCCGACTTTTTCAAGGCAAAAATGAAATCGAAATGTTTTTGTTGTTATAGTTACATTAAAAAAATCCAAATTTAAAAAGATAACCCATTATGAAGTCTTACGACAGTTTTTATATACACAAAACCCTTTCAGAAAAAAAAAATTAAAATAAATAAATCTCCATAGACGCTTAACCAGACTAGACGATGTCATCTTCCGCTTTAAATTTAGACACCCCAACCTTACCCTGGCTTGACGTCTTTGAATGTAACTGAGATATTGATACAAATTATTAACACCTTACGCCCCATTTCTTTAAATAATTGCTCTAGACGTTACCATAGTAATTTTGATTTCAATAATGAATATGCTTATAAAACGCGTAAATTTCAGGAATAAGTTATTCAAAAAAAAATTCGCTTAAAGATGGAACAGAGCTTAGTAATTTAATTCAATTTAATTCAAATAATTATATTGAAGTTTTCGGCTCTTGTTTTAAAACATGAGAACTCTTATGTAACGTTGGAATCATATTTTATATAATAAATATATATATATATATATATATATATATATATATATATATATATATATATATATGTTTCATTAAAGACGACAGACAAAATACAATTAAGCTTTTTATTTAATTTTTCTTCTGTTCAAACCAGTGTTTTCTTTTTTGGACACAGAGTGTGTAGAAACTGTGCAAATGTTCTATAATCCCGAGCGCTTTCGGCTATACGTTATCAGCCATTATCAAGGCTGATTTTATTTTTGCTTTTTTAATTGGGTGTATGAGTTGTGATTATATTTCTAGAGTTATAGGGATGTTTTATTTTCCGAATCAGTTAGCATATTGTGGCCGTGTTTGTATTGAATATTATTAAACATTGGCTTTTTCAATTTTTATTATATGTCTTCTATTATTTTACATCTTTTTTACATGCTGATGGGGGTTATTATGCTTATCCAGTCTCCCTACGTTACACCTATCCGATCACAGCTCTATTAGAATCAATTTAAACACACACACAAACTTACCAGATTCCACCCGAAACGTACTGGTAGAAAATACAAACATATCAACCTCATCCACCTGTAAAAAAAGATTACAAATAATGGAAGCCCTAATAATAAAATGAAAAAAGCCAAAACTCAATAATATTAACGACGAACATGGCCAAAATACGCTGTGTTCAGAAAATGAAACATCTCTATGACTCTAAAAACATACACACAACCCATACACCCAATTAAAAAGTAAAAATAAAATCATCATTGATAATGGCCATACGTAGAGTTGAAAGCGCTCGGTATTACAGAACAATTCGACAATTTCTACAACTCTGTATCCCCGCAAAAAAAAAACACTTCTTCGAACACAAGAATCGTAGTACCTTGTCCGTCTTCTTTAATGAAACATGTAGAAATGAATGATTGCTGCTATATATATATATATATATATATATATATATATATATATATATATATTTAAATATGTTTGAAACAGTACAGAAAATATTATGGCATAAAAAGCAAGAAATTTTATATTATAGGGCATGATAGATTTAAAATAAATAGAACCGGTCGACTGGTGTGTGTTTTTGTTTTTATTTTAAATCTATCATGGCCTATAATATAAATTTTTTTGCTTTTTATGCCATATGAAGAAATATACTCTTAAGGTGTGCTATATTTATGGGATAAAGTGCTCAATATCAGAGACGAAGCGTGTGTAAATATAAAAGTGAACATTGAAGTCAATACTTAAAGGCGACGGACTCTTTCATGCTAGGTGCAATGTGGCCTGACGATTGCGTCTAGCATGAAACACCCTGTCGCCTCTAAGTGTTGACTTCAATGTTCACTTATATATATATATATATATATATATATATATGTGTGTGTGTGTGTGTGTGTATGTGTGTTTGTGTTTCTGCGTGTGTGTATATATATATATATATATATATATATATATATATATATGTATGTGTGTGTGTGTATATATAAATGTTCAATCTCTCGCTCTTGGTTCCTCAGAAGAGAGTGAAAGAAAGATAAAAATCTATGTTAGGAAAATGCCTTGGGATATCTGAGAATAAGTGTGGGCGATAAATCAAATTACATTCCCATATAATATCTAATGTTCTGACTAAAGAGAATGTTTGTCGACCTGTTTGTTTTAAATGTCTTTTATATATATATATATATATATATATATATATATATATATATATATATATTAAGATATTTTTATGTTTAACATTCTTTTATAGATACAGATATTTAAGTAAATGCTCTGTGTATAATAAAAAGTATTAAAAACATTTACCGACCTGAATGTCGTAAATAATTGTCAGACTTTGTCCATTTCATAATATGTGACGTCATATATATATATATATATATATATATATATATATTAGTGCTCTTTATATGAATCCTCTATGGCTCAATCTATTAAACTTGTAAATAAATTACTTATCATAACACTAGGATATTTACCACCATGTCCAAGGCCATTGTAGCTATAATTAGGAATAAAAATAAATCCAACACCAATTTAGATGCTGGAACTTATCAAATAAATAGCTTAAAATATAAAGCATTTATATCGGAGTGACATCACGAGATCTTACACCTCGTATCTATGAACATAGATGAGATTAGCGTTTAAACAACCATTCCAACTGGATCGTAATACACAGGATCAGAAACTGACCATACCATTGATTTTACAAACGTCAACCTAATTAAAAAAAGAACATTTTTTTTTACGTTGAAAGTACTTCGTGCCACTGTTAATAACAAAAATACCAACTATAAAAGTACTTTAAAAACATGTTAAATCGGCAACCATTATTGAATCCATTCTTAAAGAAACTACCATATCTAAAACAAACGGTATGAACGTAAAAAGTTCCCACGAAAGGCCAACAAACATAATGGCTACTAGACATTCACACCCTAGACAATTATGAATATACATTATCATCTGAATTCGATATAGACAAACTAGAATTATTGTACACTTATCTGCAAAAAGTAATATTTACATTTTCTCAAGTAGGCTTGGAATCCATTAATTTCTTGAAACTTAGGATAGATTAGTCTCCTCTCATTGGGAACGCTACATATTATGTTAACGATTGTTTAACAAGTCTAATGAACGTGAAACATAATATATATATATATATATATATATATATATATATATATATATATATAAATTAAAAAAAAAAAACAGACCACTTTTAAGGTACCATTATAATAATTTATTTCACCAGATGCCTTTTAAAGGACGCCGGATCATCAGATAGCACTTCCAAAAATGAAATGAAACTAACTAACTAACTAACTATATATATATATATATATATATATATATATATATGTTGTCATACACATACAGACTGTTTCGCTGTATCACAGTTCAGCAGTGTGACTAGATATCCGATTGCTTTTAGCCAGGATCGAAACCTGACTGCTTTGGCATCAGTCGGAGATTTTTCCCCTAATCTATAGGCAGAGAGGAAGGCGACTTTTACGTATTTATTTGGAATAAACATGCCAGTTACTCAGAGTGGTCGATTCATAGAAGAGCTTCGAGGTTATCAGCAGTAGCAGTCACTGTTTACAAATTCGCGCTTTCCTCTAAAGTACTCGACCGAATTTTATTTTTTCGGGGTGTATATATTAGAATAATATATATATATATATATATATATATATATATATATATATATATATATATATATATTGCACTATTTTGTATTGAGCACTTTTTGAAAAGTAAATGCTACTTGAACAGTGGATTTTCACTTCATCTGTTTTTCTCTCATTTGTGTGTGTTCATATATATATATATATATATATATATATATATCTTGATAGATTTGAAATGTTTTCGCTTATAGTGATTTATAGAATGCCATGTATAAATATATTCGCTTAGACGCCTTTACTCATCTAAGACGCACAGAAAATTCCGTGAACGTTTGTGTGTGTGGGGGGGTGTAAGTGTGTGTGTGTGTGTATGTGTGTGTGTGTTCTACGGTTTGCAAATGTTTATCGACGTGAGCATGTGTCGGTTGTACGTTGTGCGCATGCGTTCTTTGTTTGCCGACGCTAAACATCTCTTGAAAATGGAACCGTGAGTAAGAGAAAAGGCACATTTGTAAAAACCCGAAGATTTACGTTAAACTCAAGATTCAAAGATCCTAATCAGAAAGACGTGCTCTTTTAATCTGACAGACATGACAGTTTTGGAAAAGTGCCAACTCTCGTTCCTGGTCTCGTTTCTTTTCTGATAATCAAAGACGCGGAATGGAATGGAGTCTTTGGCCGTGGAAAAGATTTGCTCCGATTGACTCTCGAGGCTAGAGTTTAAAAGTTTACGATCAAAACGTGCTCTTGAAAATTTTGACACAACCGTGTATGCAGTGGACTGTTGGGAAAAATAATAAAAGGAAGATTTAGAAGAAAAGTAAAGAAAAAAATTCAGCTACAGGGAGTTAATAAGAAAAGAAAAGGGGGTGACTACTGAGAAAATGGAAGGGAGTAAAAGGGGGAGAGGGGAATGAACATAAGGGAGGAAGTGAGAAAGGAATGGATCGGGATGGAAGGAAGAAATGATGAAGGAGAGAAGAGAGGAAAGAACGAAGTAAAGGAGAAAGGAAGGAAAGAAGGAACGAATGAAGTAAGGAAGAAAAGAAGAAAAAAAAAGAAAGTAAGAATGAATGATGGAAAGAAAGAACGAACGAACGAACGAACGAAAAAAAAAGGCAGGAAAGAAAGAAGGAAAGAAGAAAGGAACAAATGAAGGAAAGAAGGACAGAAGGAAGGAAAAAAGAACGAATAAAGGAAGGAATGAACGAATGAATGAAGGAAAGAAAGAAGTAACGAATGAATGAAAGAAGGAAGGAAGGAAAGAAGGAACGCATGAAGGAAGGAAGGAAGTAAAGAATGAATGAATAAAAGAAGGAAAGAAAGAAGGAAGGAATAAAGGGAAGAAAGAACGAATGATGGAAGGAAGGAAATAAGGAACGCATGAAGGAAGGAAGGAAGGAAGGAAGGAAAGAAAGAAAAATGAATGAATGAAGTAACGAACAAAAGAACGAAGGAAAAAAGTAACAAAGGAAAGAAGGAAGGAAGGAACAAATGAAGGAAGGAAGGAAAGAAGGAATGAATGAAAGAAGGGAAGAAAGAAGGAAGGAATGAATGAAAGAAGGAAAATGGAACAAAGGAAGGAAGGAAGGAAGGAACAAATGAAGGAAGGAAGGAAGGAAAGAAGGAATGAATGCAAGAAGGAAAGAAAGAAGGAAGGAATAAAAGAAAGAAAGAACGAATGACGGAAGGAAGAAAAGAAGGAACGCATGAAAGAAGGAAGAAAAGAAAGAAAAATGAATGAATGCAGTAACGAACGAAAGAACGAAGGAAAAAAGGAACAAAGGAGGGAAGGAAGGAACAAATGAAGGAAGGAAGGAACGAACGAACGAACAAATGAAAGAAGGAAAGAAAGAAGTAAAGAAAGAAGTAACGAATGAATGAAAGAAGGAAGGAAGGAAGGAAGGAAGGAATGAATGAATGAAATATGGAAAGAAAGAAAGAAGGAATAAAGGAAAGAAAGAACGAATGACGGAAGGAAGGAAAGAAGGAACGCATGAAGGAAGGAAGGAAGGAAGGAAAAATGAATGAATGAAGTAAGGAACGAAAGAACGAAGGAAAAAAGAAACAAAGGAATGAAAGGAAGAAAGAAGGAAGGAAGGAACAAATGAAGGAAGGAAGGAAAGAAGGAATGAATGAAGTATGGAAAGAAAGAAAGAAGAAGAAAAATGAATGAATGCAGTAACGAACGAAAGAACGAAGGAAAAAAGGAACAAAGGAGGGAAGGAAGGAACAAATGAAGGAAGGAAGGAAGGAACGAACAAATGAAAGAAGGAAACAAAGAAGTAACGAATGAATGAAAGAAGGAAGGAAGGAAAGAATGAATGAATGAAATATGGAAAGAAAGAAGGAAGGAATAAAGGAAAGAAAGAACGAATGACGGAAAGAAGGAAAGAAGGAACACATGAAGGAAGGAAGGAAAAATGAATGAATGCAGTAACGAACGAAAGAACGAAGGAAAAAAGAAACAAAGGAGGGAAGGAAGGAACAAATGAAGGAAGGAAGGAAGGTAGAGTATAGGGAGGGGTTAATTTCATATCTCTCTTAAGCATGCTTTATATTGAGGTAGGAGGAGTGACCGAACCTTGACCTATTTAGATGGTTAACTTAACGGAAATGATATATAGGAATGGGAGGGAGTGGGGAGAAAAGAAAAGGAAAATGGAAAAGAGAGAGGAGACAGACGACAGTAATACAGATATATCTAAATGAGTGTTACGGCAAAAAGAGAGGGGAGAGGAAGTGAATCGAAAAGAGGCTGTAATTTTGTTTTAACAAAATTATGTAAAAAGATAGATTTCAATGCTTGATAGAAATTTAAATGTCTAAAAAATGATGAATGTTATCAATTTAAACATTTAATTTTTTAAGTAAATAGTTTAGGGTCTTAATATAAGTTAACTACTATTTTTATTAGCACATTTATCGAGAACATATTAAAGAAATATTTAAAATTAAATAGTTAATTTACCCGACCAATTGTACTTCCACAATATTGTAAAAAAATGTCGGTAACAATAACATCTATATTAGTTTTACTTTTAATCTAATTTATGAATGCAATTTTTCTTTATTGTTATATGGGTAAACTTAATTAAGGTTTAGGTTTCATTATTTAATAATATTTGAGGGTAATATTAAAGATTTTGTTTTCTTGTATGTATCTCACAAACAAGTTCTTCGTAATATATATATATATTCTGAGATACGTGATGTTAATAGGACATAGAATCCGAGCAAACGTGAAGAAATGAGACAAAATGGAGAAGCTTTTTTTTTAATGACACCGCATTTCGCTACAGTTTGTTAGGTAGACATCTTCAGTTTTGTCTTCCAGTCAGACCTAAAAAGAAAAGCCTATCTTATACACGAAGTCGAAACGCGTTGACATTAAAAAGTTTTTTCTCCCTTTCGCTCGTATCTCCATATTCTCAAATGTGGACATTTTAACGAGTCTTTCTTATACGATTCATAAGTAGATTAGCTGATCGACTTTTTGCGGATTATCAACCTTTTTCATCCAGAAATAGACATTTAGATTCTAAGTATTTTTGAGAGATAAAAAATCTATAATAATATAATACCGATACAAATTTTACTAATTAACCCATATCTTGGGGAGAAAAGTAGTGGATTAAATACCTTTACCAAGGTTACATGCGTCTAAGTGAATATAAAGAACTCAACCGGAATTAGAACACGGCTCTCCGATTTTCCAATTCCGAGATATTATCAGACACATCAAGCTTACAACACCTGGTATTCCTAATCAGTCACCAATCTAGATAATGATCAGGCTTGACGTTGCTTAACTTCGACGATCGTATGAGATATCAATGTGATATGTCCGTAAGTCCGATTCAAGTGTAGAATGTGATTTTCGGTCACCAATCTAGATAATGATCAGGCTTGACGTTGCTTAACTTCGACGATCGTATGAGATATCAATGTGATATGGCCGTCAGTCCGATTCATGTGTAGAATGTGATTTTCGGTCACCAATCTAGATAATGATCAGGCTTGACGTTGCTTAACTTCGACGATCGTATGAGATATCAATAAGATATGGCCGTCAGTCCGATTCATGTGTAGAATGTGATTTTAAAAAGTTTTTGTGTTAAAAGTAGACATAGAGGAAGACGTGTCGCCATAGCTGAGAGTCTTAAGTGGTGCGTGCCAATAGAAAATAAAAATTATGATAAGCAAAGAAATAAAGATGGAGGGGTAAAAGAAAGAGAAAATGAAAGGAAAAAAAATAAGATGATGGAAGGAAGAAATAAGACAATGAAAGAAAGAATAAATTACAATGAATTACCGAAACATAGCTTCCTTCCAAAACAGAGTAGAGTATTGCGAGACTGGAGGGTTTCTTTGGTAACAAAGAAAAGACTACTCAACTGTTACGTCACATCAGTCCATCTTTACGGCAAAGAATGTTGGACGATTTCCTCAAAGAAGAAGACTCGAGGCGACGGAGATGTGGTTCTACAGAAGGATGCTAAGGATATCATGGACCGAGCGTGTGAGCAACGATGCGGAGAGTTTGCAAACAAGATGGAGGCATACTTAACATCAGCTGAAGTTTCTGGGACACATAACAAGAAAGGAGGGCCTGGAGAATCTGATACTCACGGGTCGAATAGAGGGAAAGAGACACAAGGGGAAACAACTTGTGACCTACCTGGCGAACTTAAGCAAGTGGATGACAGAACTTGGCCTGGGGGAGGAAGCAGAGGGAAGGAACTTCTTGAGGGTTGCATGGGATAGAGGAAGAGGTGGAGAGCCATGATTCACACGTTTTTGCTTGTAAGGAACCCACAAGAGCGGTGAGTTTTAGGAAAATAAGGGTGATTTTTAGGGGCCTGGAACGAATCGGAAATAAATGGCACATAAAAAGAAAAAGAAAGAAAGCTTCCAAATGCTAGGGTAGCTGTTGGTGTCCCTGCCTCTGTCTCAACTCTGACATTTGGCCGATGAACTTATTGGATAGTGGCTCGGATTGAGGAATCGGAGAGCCGAGTTCGAATTCCACTCGAATCTATTACATTCACTTACATGCTAATACCCTTGGGAAAGATATGAATCCTCTTTTTCTCCATCCAGGTATGGGTAAATAGCAGGACAGACCGGATTATGTAGCATTGGATGGCAACTGGTCTACCGCAGAAAGAAATGGCAACCTACTGCGGGGAAAAATCTACCACGTCAGTCATGTATAGAAAGCTACATGATTGCCTAAGCGTGTATCACGCATGGCTCATAACTGACTGACTGACTTTCCAGTCGAATCCATTACATTCACTTATGTGCTAATACCCTTGGGAAAGGTATGAATTCTCTTTTTCTCTCCATCCAGGTATGGGTAAATAGCAGGACAGACCGGGTTCTATAGCATTGGATGGCAACTGGTCTACCGCAGAAAGAAATGGCAAACAACTGAGGGGAAAAAATCTGCCTCGTCAGTCATGTATCGAAAGATACATGATCGCTTAAGCGTGTATCACGCATGGCACATAATTGAATGACAGTATATTTCTTTACAATTTGTTTTTTCTCTTTTAATTAAAATAAAATTTGTTTTGATTCACACGTTTTTGATTGTAAGGAACCCGCACTAAGGGTGAGTTTTAGGAAAATAAGGGTGATTTTTAGGGGCCTGGAACGAATCGGAAATATTCCCATTAATTTCAATAGCGACAATTGATACGAATCTTTTGAGTTAAGAGCTCGGTGTTGGAACGAATTAAATTCGTATCTCAAGACATTACTTTAATTGTCTTGATGAGCTTTCCTCTTGTGTTTTAAAAAATTAGAGCTGAACTGTTACGTGATATCTTTCCTCCTATATGGCAGCGAATACTGGAAAATATCCTCATATATGAAGAAGAGACTTGTATGCAACAGAAATGTTGTTCTACAGAAAGGTGCTGGGGATGCTATAGACCGAACATCTGAGCAACGATGACGATTTGGAGTAAATGAAAACAAAAAAAGAAACGTATACTTAACATCCGGAAGAGGTAGCTGAAACTTCTGGGACAGGTAATGAGGAAAGAAGGCTTGGAAAACCTGACACTCACAGGCCAGATTAAGGGAAAGAGAGACAGAGGAAAACAGCTCGTAACATGATGAGCTTGAGCAAGTGGACGATAGAACAGGGTTTGAGAGAAATAACAAAAAGACATAGCTTGTAAAGACAAGCTATGTCTTTTTGTTATGAGGGACAGGAAGATGTGAAGGGCCATAACCGCCTACGTACTGAAGGGACATCACACATAAAAAAAGAAGAAAGAATAGATTAGCAGCTATGCCTCATCATTTTATAACTGAAATTACAAGATGTAATTGTTCATGATGACGGTCGTCTTCGAGTATAGAATCCAGAGGTTAGCAGTTAATATTTTGAAGACAGTAGGAAAGCGTTGTTCAGGTTAGCAGTGGATATTTTGGTAAAAAGTAGCAGAGCGTAGTTCTTTCTTCTGTTCCTCTTCGCCTGACAAGCTGGCACTGGACATTCGGATAGAGTAAACAAAATGGCCGCCTTTATACACGACGGATTGAATGTTCTACGTCTTCTGATTGGTTAACCTTCTATTGGTGAACTATAAAGCGAGTCAACTCATTTTTACTTTCTCACTAGTACATACATATACACAAAAAACTGTAACAGTAATCTCTATTCTAGGATTTCATTTTCTCGCATTTCTCAGCAATGGAAATCTCTTCAGGTTTCTTGCTTTTCACTATCCATTTTTTCTTTATGTGCTGTGTGCCTCCCCCACAAGGAAGAAGGCGATCATGGCTCTCCACAATTTTCCGTCTCTTGTAGCTCTAAATAAATTCTGTCTTCAATTATGTCTTGCGTTGTTTTCTACTGCCCAATAATCGTCCTGTAAGGATCAGATTTTCAAAGCCTTCCTTATGCGCTCCAGAAATTTCGACTGTCACAATCTGATGTTATGGAAAAGTTTTCTTTTTGTTTCCATTCTCTCTAGAACATCATCTTTGCTCCGTGGTATCCTCAAGATCTTTCTGTAGAACAACATTTCTGTTGCTTCAAATCTCCTTTCATCTGCTAGGAAATTGTCCAGCATTCTCTGCCATATAGGAGGACTGATATTACATAACAATTCAGTACTCTTTTCTTTGTTTCTCTTGCTTCAAGTCTCTTCTTCATCTGCGAGGAGATTGTCCAGCATTCACTGCCATATAGGAGGACTGATATTACATAACAGATCACTACACTTTTCTTTGTTTCTGATGCTTCAAGTCTCTTCTTCATCGGTGAGGAGATTGTCCAGCATTCACTACCATATACATGATATTACATAAGAGTTCAGTACTCTTTTCTTTGTTTCTCATGCTTCAAGTTTCGCCTTCATCTATAAGGAGATTGTTCAACATTCATTGCCATATAGATGGACTGATATTACATAACACTTCAGTCGTTTTTTCTTTGTTTCTGTTGCTTCAAGTCTCTTCTTCATCTGTGAGGAGATTGCCCAGCATTCACTGCTATATAGGAGGACTGATATTACATAACAGTGCAGTACTCTTTTCTTTGTTTCTCTTGCTTCAAGTCTCTTCATCTGTTAGGAGATTGTCCAGAATCCAATGCCATATATGAGGACTGATATTACATAATAATTCAGTACTTTTTATTTGTTTCTAACAAAGTTGGAAGGCATCTTCAGATTTCAATGCCGCACTTTCTGTCTACTTTTAAAAGGCTTCCAAGACATTTAAATTGTACTTGTTTGATTTTGGTACTTCCAATTTGTAAATTGTATATTGGACTGTTCCATTTATTAATAACCATTAATTCGGTCTTCTTGCAATTGGTGCTTAGTCCTTTCTTCTTGCTTTCCTTCACTACCTTTTGTAGAAGTCCTTGTAATTTCCTTTCTGTGTCTACTAGCAACATTTTATCATCTGTATTTCTATGTTATTAAGATACTAGCAGTAGAGCCCGGCGTTGCCCGGGGATGTAACAGTAAGAGATAGATCAATATCGACCATCATAAAGACTGAAAAATAAAATTGACAAAGATTATTGTTTAAGGTTGACGGACACACATGTCTTAATTAGTTTTTTTTTTTTTTACGAATTGATCAAACCCAAATTCAAACAAAAACATTGTATTCAATCGTTATGAGTCACTACCGATGGAATAGAATTTTATTATAAACAATTGTCTTGTAAATGGAATTTTTAAAGCATTCTGAATGTAAAAATAAAGAAAAAAGTGTGCAAGAGAATAAGAAATGCTACCTGCCAAAAAAAAAAAAAAAAGTGAAGTTTTGTTGAAATCAGTTTGAAAAATGTAGGAAATCCGATCCATATATAAACGAACACACAAACACACACACACACACACACACACACACACACACACACACACACACACACACTGGGTTTTATAATAAGTATAATTCGATATGAGTTGTCCTCCTATCATTCTCGCGACAGCGATGCCTCTTAATCGTGTTTTCAAATTGATTTCGTGCAAAAACAATTATGTTTTTCCAATTTTTGGCGCTATCAGAACCACCGCAAAGTAATTTTACGTAGTCCTGTGAAGTTTTGCTGAAATCGGTTGAAAAATGTAGGAAATCCGATCCAATATAAACGTACAGACACATACACACAACCTGGGTTTTATAATAAGTATGATAATGAATCCTGATAGGACTTCTAATTCTCATAGAATCTCATTCCACAATCTGCCCTGTGAGTATCATATTTTACAAACTCTCTTTCCTCATCATATGTACTAGAAAGTTCAACTGTCTCATCCTGATTTTAAGTATAGCATCTTTTTGTTTCCATTTTCTCTAGAACATTGTCGTTTTCTTTGTGGTATCCTCAGCATTCTTTTTGTACAACCACATTTCTCTTCTTCATCTTCGAGGAGATTTATTCAGCATTCACTGCTACATATTAGGACAGATATCACGTAGCAGTTCAGTACTTTTTTCCTTGTTTTTTAATGAAGTTTGTCTATCTGTTAATAATCTGTTCAGCTTTTGGAATGCGTAAAAAAATCCTCATGCAATATCCATCGTCATGTTCTGTTTATTCTTAATCTTATTCTTTTATTGTTCTTTTGTTTCACTAATGTTTTTTTTTGTTCAGTTTCTTTCACTCCCAGTAAGCATTTGTCACTCAGGTACTTCATCGCTTTGCTTGGGATGAACTGGTTAAAAAAAGAAGGGGAAAAGGACAAAGAATAAGGAAACGAAAAAAAAAAAATGAAGGAAACAAGAATGAAGGAAGGATGAAGGAAATTAAAGACGAGAAAAAGCAAGAGAGGAAAAGAAATAAAAAATAGAAAGAAGGAGAATAAATGAATATTAATGAAAGAAAAAGAATGAGATTTTTAAAAAAAGACACGTAAAGAAGGAAATTAAAAACGATAAAAAAATAGAGACGAATGAAATAGCTGAGAAAATGAGCTGATTGATTTCTTTTTTACGGCTTATCAACCGGCAGAGTAGCAGCTCGGATTGAGGAATCTGGTAGCCTAGTTCGAATTCCAGTCGAGTTCATTACGTTCATTTAAGTTCTAAATCTCTTCGGGAAGATATAAATCCATCTTTTCTCTCACCAGCTATGGGTAAAATAGAACAAGATACTGGATCCTACAGCCCTGGATGGCAGCCAGTTTAGGAGAAGGAATCTCTGAATTCTGTCTTGTTCGTCCTGCCTCTTTAGTCAAAAAGACTAAAAGGTAACTTCAAATAAGCCTCAGAGGAGCTACCGAGTAACCTCAACATTCCTCGTGAAAAAGGAACCGGCAAGCCATTGCTCTATTCTGCCTTGAATGTCACTATGAACACTAGATGTGAGATGGAGGGGAGTGGTGACCACAGCGGTGGCGCAAAACGCGCTAACTGAATAAAATGATGAATAATATCAAAGTTTAAAAAGTTATTTAAACCCAGAAAATGTTTCGAAATTCTAAGAGTATTTTGACGATAATAATGATCTACTCATAAAAATTCTACTAATTAACCCATAGCTGGGGGGGAATAAGTGGATACCTGCTTTTCCCAGTTGCGTAAATGATTAAAATGTACCCGACTGGAATTGGAACTAATCTCTTCGATTTCCAATTCTGAGCCATTATCCAAGCTTACAGCACCTGGTATTCCCAAGTGGTCACCCATTTAGGTTCTGACCAGGGTCGACGTTGCTTAATTTCCGTGTTTCAACATAATATGGACGGACGGACGGACGGAAGGAAGGAAGGAAGGAAGGAAGGAAGGAAGGAAGAAAAAGAAGGAAGGAAGAAAAAGAAGGAAGGAAGGAAGGAAGGAAGGAAAAAAGGAAGGAAGGAAGGAAGGAAGGAAGAAAAAGAAGGAAGGAAGAAAAAGAAGGAAGGAAGGAAGGAAAAAAGGAAGGAAGGAAGGAAGGAAGGCATAGAGGTAGGAGGGAGAAAGAAAGGATAGGAGGACAAGGAATGAATGAATGAAAGAAGGAACGACAGAAAGAACGATGGAGGATAGGAGAGAGAAAGGCTGGCAGGCAGGAAGGAAGGAAGAAAGGAAGGAAGGAAGGAAGGAAGGAAGGAAGGAAGGAAGGAAGGAAGAAGAAGGCAGGGAGAACGGAGGGAGAGAAGAAGGAAGTGCAGAAGCAATGAAGAAAGAAAGAAGGAAGGAAGGAAGGAAGGAAGGAAGGAAAAAAGGAAGGAAGGAAGGAAGGCATAGAGGTAGGAGGGAGAAAGAAAGGATAGGAGGACAAGGAATGAATGAATGAAAGAAGGAACGACAGAAGGAACGATGGAGGATAGGAGAGAGAAAGGCTGGCAGGAAGGAAGGAAGGAAGGAAGGAAGGAAGGAAGAAGAAGGCAGGGAGAACGGAGGGAGAGAAGAAGGAAGTGCAGAAGCAATGAAGAAAGAAAGAAGGAAGGAAGGAAGGAAGGAGAGAAAGCAGGAAGAAAGGACAGAAGGAAGAAAGGAAAAAGGAGGGAAGGGAAAGGAAGGAAAGACAGAAGGAAGGAAGGATAGAAGGAAGGAAGGAGGTAGAGACGCAGGCAGGCAGGAAGGAAGGAGGGGGATAGGATGGAGAGAGACAGGAAAGAAGGACAGAAGGAAAGAAGGAAGAAAGGAAGGAAGGAGAGAGCAGGGATAGCGGAGGGAGAGAGGAAAGAAGGACAGAAGGAAGGAAGGAAGGAAGGAAGGAAGGAAGGAAGGAAAGAAGGAATAAAGAATGGAAGAAGAAAAGGGAGGAGACAGAGAGCCAGAAAGGAGGGACAGAAGGAAGAAAGAAAGGAAGGAGGGAGAGGGAATAGAGAGGAAGGAAAGACCGAAGGAAGGAAGGAAGGACAGAACGAACGAACGAACGAACGAACGAAAGAATGAATGAATGAAGGAAGGAAGGAAGGAAGGAGGGAAGGAAAGAAGGAAGGAAGGAAGGAAGAGAGGTAGGCGGGAGAGAGGAAGAATGGGAAGACAAGGAATGAATGAATGAAGGAAGGAAGGAAGAAGGAAGGAAGGAAGGAAGAAGGAAGGAAGAGAGGAAGAATGTGAAGACAAGGAATGAATGAAGGAAGGAAGGAAGGAAGGACAGAAGGAAGGATGGTGGATAGGAGGGAGAGAGACAGACAGGCAGGCAGGGGAAGGAAGGAAGGGAGGAGGATAGGATGGAGAGAGACAAGAAGGAAGGAAGGAAGGAAGGAAGGAAGGAAGGAAAGAAGGAATAAAGAAAAGGAAGAAGAAAAGGGAGGAGACAGAGAGCCAGAAAGGAGGGACAGAAGGAAGAAAGAAAGGAAGGAGGAGAGGGAATAGAGAGGAAGGAAAGACCGAAGGAAGGAAGGAAGGACAGAACGAACGAACGAACGAACGAAAGAATGAATGAATGAAGGAAGGAAGGAAGGAGGGAAGGAAAGAAGGAAGGAAGGAAGGAAGAGAGGTAGGCGGGAGAGAGGAAGAATGGGAAGACAAGGAATGAATGAATGAAGGAAGGAAGGAAGTAAGGAAGGAAGGAAGGAAGGAAGAGAGGAAGAATGTGAAGACAAGGAATGAATGAAGGAAGGAAGGAAGGAAGGACAGAAGGAAGGATGGTGGATAGGAGGGAGAGAGACAGACAGGCAGGAAGGCGGGAAGGAAGGAAGGGAGGAGGATAGGATGGAGAGAGACAAGAAGGAAGGATAGAACGAAAGAATGAAGAAAGGAAGAAGGAAAGAGAGGAGGCAGGAAGAAAGGACAGAAGGAAGAAAGAAAAGAGGGAGGGAGGGGGAAGGGAGAAGAAGGAAAGACAGAAGGAAGGAAGGAAAGACAGAACGAACGAAAGAATGAATGAAGGAAGGAAGGAAGGAAGGAAGGAAGGAAGGAAGGAAAGACAGAACGAACGAAAGAATGAACGAAGGATGGAAGGAAGGAAAAAAGGAAATAGGAAGGAAAAAGGAATGAAGGAAAGAAGGATGTAAGGAGGAAAGGAAAGAAAATAAAAAAAAGATAAAATAAAAATAATATAATGAATGAGTGTCACTTAAATTTAAATACTGTCTTTTGGAGAATCTGTTAAAAATATTACGTTTGTGAAATGTTGAACACATTTATTGGCATGTGTGTCAATATGGCGTAGAGATGCTACAGCAGCAGCAGCAGAGCTTTGGAATCCAGCTTCTTTCTAGTACCAGACATAAGAAGAAGTGAACGAAAGACAGACAGACAGACAGACAGAAAAAGAAAGGGGACAGGAAAGAGAAAGAAATTGAATTGGACATTCTCACACTTGTGCTCGACACAGAGATGTGGAATGTCCCGATACACTGTTGGCATGTACCATTCTCAAACAGTCCCGTCTCCCCATCTCTTCGTGTGGTCCTTTTTTTTTTTTCTTCACCACAATTCATTTCAACTGTGTGTACACTACCCATAACCCCACCCCGTCAGACAAACCTTTCTTTCGTAGATGCTCTTGGCGCATTCACTAAACATTGGAGCCCCCTGGTGGGCAGGGGAAGAGAGATAGTGACAGGCGTTCAAAGAAGGAACCGTACACGATTAAACACGGCCGTAAATGAGCATGCTCTGACAAGCCCGCACCTGTAGAGGCAGACTAGCCACGCGGGCCGTGAAAACCACCTCGAAGTAAATACACCTGCGCACATATACATAAAGGCAGGCGGACATATTTGGAAGACGTTACGTTTCCCGCCTTTGGAGCAAATTTATTCTGTTAGTGTTACCATGTAGTTTCTGCTATTTTGATATTCTGGATAAAATCCAAAGAATATGCAATATTATCGTCCCGACCTGGCATCTCGGCATAAAACAATTTCCCCATCGCATTAACGTGGTTTTTCTACAAATATTTTTTATAGTAGTTGATCTGATAAGATTTTCTCTTTGGTATGACGACCTCATAAATTTAAGCGTAGAACTAGATTGACAGTGAGGTGGTATTTAACTGCTGAAACTGTTAAATGTAACCTTAAGTTGTTTTTTTTCTAGTAATTTCTCTTATTGCATATGGAACTATCCTCTCGCTTCCTGCTTTTCTGTCAACGACAATCTACAAAATTTAAATACAATGACAATCTTCATTTTTTTCCTCCTTGGCATCTGTCCTTCTTGCAACGAACGATTTTCTCAAAGATGAAGAAGAGACTCCAGGCGACAGACATGTGGTTCTACAGAAAGATGCTAAGGATATCATGGACCGAGTGTCTGAGCAACGATGTGATCTTAGAGAGGTTGCAAACAAGGAGGAGGCTTTTGCTTAATATCAAGAAGAGACAATTGATGTTTCTGGGACACATAATGAGGAAGGAGGGCCTGGAGAATCTGATACTCACGGGTCGAATAGAGGGAAAGAGAGCATGACATACCTAGCGTGTTTAAGCAAGTGGTTGACAGAACATGGTCTGTGGGAGGTGGCAGAGGGAAGGGACTTATTGCGAGCTGCAACGGATAGAGGGAGGTGGAGAGCCATGATCGCCTACGTCCTGAAATGACATGGCCAAAAAAAGAAAGAATTCTGTTGTTTTTGTTATGTCTCCTCACTATTTCTCATTTTCTTCCACTCTTTTTTTTTCTTTTTTAACAGTAAAGTTCACCTTGTACCGGAGCTTACGGTCAAATCACGCTGAAAGCACCGGTTCTCGTTCGATCACCGAAGTTAAGCATCGTAGAGCCAGGTCAGTACTTAGATGGGGGACCGCTTGGGAACACCTGGTACTGTAAGCCCCCAAAGTCCAACCCTTACCTCACAGTCGGTGGTGGGGTGTAAACAGTCGTGTCAGAGCTATGCCGCCCGGAACTTCGTTCCTGGTAGGGTCACCAAAGGCGGACAGGTCTGACACACGTCGTCGGGTAACAAGGGCTCTGGTGAAAATCAAGGAGCGTCTGCATCGGTAACCGGCGGCTTCTGGTCGTTCCTGTCTCTGCGCGTCTGGGCATCGGCACCGGCGGCTTCTGGTCGTTCCTGTCTCTGCGTCTGTGGGAACCCCGCGGCAAGCAAGAACGTTATCCGAGTAGGCCTGGGTACCCTACTTCTGTAATTTATCCCAAGAATCTTCTTCTCATAACAGGAAGAAGCCGGCCAGGGTGAATGCCGCATCAAGTACAAGGAGTCAAGGTTACGCTAAGGGGTAGTTTATATAGATAGGTGGGGTAGATAACGGTTGACTCTAGATTTGAACAGGTCAAGATTGTACTGATCTAGGAACGTCCTCTTGGAAATTGGTTCCACAGAGCAGTAATTCGCAGTAAGAAGTTGTTTGACTAGAACTTACTTCCCACCAATGGAATACTGAGGGAATGCGGGGCTTTGCTACAATGTAAGTGAAATGGCGGGCCCTAGCCGTAAAAGTTAGACCTGGTGGAACCAAGGAACTTAGTCCGAACATTTTCCATGGAAGTAGCGACAGAGCAGTGAGAGACAGGCCACATCCCGCCTGTGAGTAAGAGGTTGGACGGTGGAAAATAATTCTTTCCCAACAGAGACACGGAGACGCCTTTTAAGTCTGTGAAGACTGGAAAAATTGGTCTGGGCTGCTCCAGCCCAAATATGGCAACAGTACTCCATTTTCGTCCTGGTCTGGCTCTTATAAAGATAGAGAATAACCCACAGAGTCAGGTGCTTACTGGAGCGGTACAGAAAGACGATCATTTTACCAACATCTGTAACAATGGTTCGTATATGAGTTTCACTTGAGGTCCGGTGTTAGTTTCAGACCCAATATTCTTACAAGGTACGGAACCTGCTCGAGAGGACTTCGTTTATCGTGACTTGCGGTACTTCGGGGTCTGATCGTCGGTTCTTGGATCTTAGTGGAATTATCGCCTTGCTTGGGGTGAAACGAAAAGAAAGTTGCTAGGTGACAGTTAAGATGCGTTGGTTCGTGACTTTTTTTTGCATCTATTGATCGTCTTGATATAAACTAGCAATAATAGGCTACCTCAGCCGGAGGTACGGTACAGTGTAATCAAACCCTAGTTACCCAGGTTTTTTGCAATCATTTCATCCAAAGCAAGTCAATAAAGCCCCTAAGACGCAAAGTATTACTGATTGTGAGGGAATACGAGAAAAAAGAAAACATTATTAAGGAGAGAGAACAATAAAACTGCAGGAATTATTTTTTTTAATCACTTAACTCCAAGTAAGGCAATAAAGTCACGAAGACTTCAACCATTATAAGAGTATAAGAGAATAGGCGAAAAAGAAAATATTATTAAGGAGAGATACGTATTATTTTTTTTAATCATTTCACCACATGTAAGGTAATAAAGCCAGTGAGACGCAAGATGTTACTGACTGTATGAGAATACTAGAAAAAGGAAACATTATTAAGGAGAGAGAACAATAAAAGTGCAGGAATGACTTTTTGCAATCATTTCACACCAAGCAAGGCAATAAAGCCACTAAGACGCAAGGGGGTTACTGAGTGTGAGAGAATATGAGGAAAAGAAAATATTATTAAGCAGAGAGAACAATTAAAAAACAGGAATTACTTTTTGTAATAATATCAACGCATGCAAGGCAATAAAGCCACTAAGACGCAAGGTGTTACTGAGTATGAGAGAATATGAGAAAAAGAAAGCATTACTAATGAGATGTAAAACGTAAAAGAACAGGTTGTTTGAAGAGCATTCTAGAGACATTCAACAAATGCTGTTAACCACTACTTTCATAATACCTCAGCTCCTAGGGCGTGCTAGAGAGGCTGCCTACTTTCAGTCTAGATATATCCCTGTCTATATCTTTGAGATGAAGTATTATGATTACTTATATTATTTACATTATTCGGACTGTTATCCTCATTTTCATCGACATATTCACAACGTTTCGGCCGTTGTACGCTTCGACCATCTTCAAGGGATTGAAATTTCGAACCGAACCCTTTCTTTCGTACACCGGGGTAGATTGATCTAGTTCCACGTGGCATACCTCTCCCAGTTCAGTGGATAAAGGTATTGGTTAGATCCAGGGACTAGACCCAAAGAGTTATGAGTTCAATACCAGGCTACAGCAGTGCTGAACCAAAAAGTTGGAGAGTTCAGTTAAAGGGAAATAATTGACACATCCCTAAGAGGCATGGCACGTAGAACTAGAACTTAGATATTCCAATTCGGATTCGGCTTCAGCTCTTTAACCTTTTATCATTCTGTAAGTGATTTGCTTTACAAAATGTTTATTCTGCCACTGAAGGTGACTCTGATTCCTGAATTTGAATTTGTTCGAATTTCATAGTTGTGCTGTCATATCCTGCTAGGGCAACAGATAGAAATTTTGAGGGAAATTAATAATAATGTTATTGCAATTGAGAGTCGGTTGTCCTGGGTATGACGATAAACTACATCTGTCAGCAAGGCCTATGATCAGAAGATTTTGAGGAGCATGGAGCAATCTCTTGATTGCTGTTGTTTTCAGATCTACCTTGACCCAGAGTGGTAGCACCTGTTAGGGTACCAGCTATGGGAAAATAGTGAACTGCTAAAATGGAGTCAAAATATGAGAATACGTTTGAAAAAAATTACTAGAAATACATTTTTGAAAAAAATTACTAGAAATACATTTTCATAATAAAAGAATAAAAAAATTTGAAAAAAAAAAAATCAATGATCACAAAATCAAATTCCGGCATTAAATGACCCATAAAGTGTTGATATGTCGTTAAACAAACAAATGAAACCATAGCATAAGGGAATACAACAAACTAGACTGGAATTTGAACACTGTTCGACAATGCCACTATTCGTACCCATAACTGTTGACACATTGAAACAAAACGATAAAAAAAAAAATAAAAATAGTTTTTGTTAAATTCCAAATGATCTTTTTACGTTGTCGACTATCTGCATTCCGGCAGTTGTCTGGCAGAAGATGAATCAACCAGAAAAGGTTTTAATCCAAGAAGCCTGAAAATATTTGTTCAAAAATCGAGGAATACAGGTGATTTTCGAACGATTTTCTTTAAAATTTATTTCAAACCATTCCTTGGTTATAGATAGTGTCTTGGAATAAGAAATTGACGAACCGAATTCCAGTTCGAGTTCGTTACATTAACTCCCGTGCAAATATCGTTGGGGAAGCTATGTATCCAATCTTCTCCCCAAGCTATGGATTAAATAGTAGGACTTGTAACTGGAAAATATTTTTCGGTTATAAATAACTCGCAAAGATTTCATGTGTAATAAATCAATCAATCAAATCATTCTGTGGTTACTGTTTTCTTGGAATAAGAAACGTACTTGTTAAATCCAAAAATTAAAATAAGTATCTATCGAAAGTGAGTTTTTTTTTTATTTAACCAACGGTTTAAAATTGCCAGTTATTTAAGACCCAAAACGAAGATATCTTGTTAAAGAAAGCGGGCATTAACCTCACGTCCAGAAGGTCGATAGTCTATATTATTTTCATTTCTTCAGAACTGGTTTTCATTACGGCTAAAAGCAAGTAGACGGTCCTCCAGCTTCTTGATTCTCATCTTTTAAACGCTTGCCTTCCTGCTACGAGGTCGCAATACACAGCCGTCTGATCATGATGACGTCAAATAATGTCCCCCGGGGTGGTAAGCCAAATATGGCACGCTTAAGTTTGTTTCATGTATTAATTCAAGAGTATAATCGACCCGGAAGCCAAACAAAAATAGGTAACCTACATGGTTTTCAAAAGAAATCGATACGTTCGTTTGATTAGCGAACAAGTCTGAAGCCGTATTTTCTTTTTTAAGCATATCACCCCAAGCAAGGCACTAGCACGCAAGGGGTTACAGAGAGTGAGAGTAAAAATAAAGAAAGTTGAGGAAAAGATTTAGGGAAAGACGGGGGATCAAGATCAAGGCATCAAAAGATGTCGATTGACATTCCATTTGAATATTTGAAGTTTATAACTATCATGGAAGCAAGTAAGAGGAAGGGAGTGCCTCTGACGGGAAGTGCGAGATAAGAAGTTGTTAAAGTAGAAGAGATGGCTACATTTGACTGTTTCGACAGTGAAAAGGTGGGACTGAGATGCCAATCTATGAGCACGTTTAAATTCATGCAGTTTGGGAAACAGTGTAATTAACTCGTCAGAGCAGTTGATATAAAAATATTTGCATAAAAGACAGACGGAAGCCACAGTACATCTGTGAGATAGCGACTGTAGACGAGATTCCAGATTTAAAAAAAAAAAAAAATTTTGCCTTTTTCTGTTTTAGTCATCGATTCCGTAATCTTAGATAACATCTGTTATTGCGTAGAACAGCTTTCGAGTTGAATTCTTAGTGGAAATTAGGTTTGAAGAAATAATGGCGAATTTCAAAAGTGCTTTGCTGCCAGCAATGGCGTCTTTTTCCTTTTTCATTTACAGGAGGTAGTTTATTTTGGCAGAAGGTCATAGGAGTCAGGCAACTAGTGAGAATCGGTCTCCTCATTGATGATGTATGAGAGTAATTTCCTGAGTATTGTCTCACTAAGCGCCAACATTGTTATTTACTGATTGTTGCTTAGGTATGGCACAAGGCCACAGCAATCTCTCTTTCTCTCTCTCTCTCTCTCTCTCTCTCTCTCTATATATATATATATATATATATATATATATATATATAATTATTTATTTAATTTATTACTTTTGTATCGAGCACTATTTTTTAAAAATAATAACTAAAATACAAAGGAACTTTGGATTATTTACCTAACCAGTTCCTTCCTATTTTCTATATATTTTCACGCAAATACACACACACACACACACACACA